CATATATATATATATACATATATTTTTATTTATTTATTTTTTTTTATATATAGAATATATATATTATATATTTATAAATAAATATAATTAGTTTTATATGCTTAGTTGAGGTGTACAGGCAGCTCTGAAGCCCCAAGGCCCCACCGCATGCAGCGCATGCATGCAGAGAAAGTTTTTGGGGGAAAAGTTTAATAAAAATAAATAAATTTATTTTTTATTTAAAATAATATAAAAAAAGAAACAAAAGGAGGGGTTCTAGCAGCAGCAACAGCAGCAGCAACAGCAGCAGCAGCAGCAGCAGCAGCAGCAGCAGCAGCAACAGCAGCAGCAGGCTTCTGCTGCTTCTGTTGTTTTCTTTTGTGAGATATTTTATTATATTTGTTGTTTTTGTTTTTATAATTAATTAATAATGTTGGTTTGAGTGAATATATAATAACTGCTCTATAAACCCTAAACCCTAAACCCTAAACCCTAAACCCTAAACCCTAAACCCTCGATATATATATATAAACCCCACCGCAGCTCATTGCAGCGAATGGTATCAAACAAATTTCAGTTTTAGGGTTTCCCTGGGGCCAGCTCGGCCTCAGGCTTAGGGTCTAGGGTTTAGGGTTTAGGGTTTAGGGTTTAGGGTTTAGGGTTTAGGGTTTAGGGTTTGTGGCGATGGAGGGCCCCAAACCCGACAGCTTTATTAGCGGGTTTCCGCCCCCCCCATATTTCTGGATGGACTGCATGCACTCAGACTGCATCGAGCAGCAGCAGCAGCAGCAGCAGCAGCAGCAGCAGCAGCAACAGCAGCAGCAGCAGGAAGGCCATCCCCAACACCCCCACCACCACCACCACCACCACCACGACCATCACCAGAACCACCACCACCACCAGCACCAGCACCACCACCAGCACCACCAGCAGCAGCAGCAGCAGCAGCAGCAGCAGCAGCAGCAGCAGCAGCAGCAGCAGCAGGAGTTTTGCCGTCCCCCTCCTGTGTTCATCGATGAATATTTTAGTAGTTTTGGTTTTACTTATTCTTTATCTGCAGCTGAAATAGAGTTAGATAGAGATAGCTGCCTATACACCCCAACAGCAGAACCAAAGACAGAGTTTATTCGTTTGCTGCCTGTCTTTGTTGCTGCATGCATGCGCATGCTGCATCAGCTAGCTGCTGCTGATGGAGAATATAGTAATACACTCAGAAAAGCAATTAGGGTTTATAAAAACCTCCTATTTCTGCTGCTGCTGCTGCGGCAGCAGCAAGCGCAGCAGCAAATTATACACAGACTGCAGCAGCAACTAAAAAAAAGAAAACAAGCAGCAGATGCTATTCGCTATGAGCTCGCTCAGGCACTCAAAGACATGCAGCTAGCCGCGCAGCTAGCCAGCAGCAGCAGCAGCAGCAGCAGCAGCAGCAGCAGCAGCAGCAGCAGCGGCAGCAGCAGCAGCAGCAGCGATGCAGTGCAGCAAACTTAACTTCTTATTTTCTTTTAATTTTTTTTCGCTTCGAGGGGCATTCACACACTTCTGTTAGCAGCTATTAGACAGCAGCAGCAGCAACAGCAGCAGCAGCAGCAGCAGCAGCAGCAGCAGCAGCAGCAGCAGCAGCAGCAGCAACAGCAGCAGCAGGAGTAGGAGTAGCACCAGCAGCACATGCAGAAGCAAACACAGCAGCAGCAGCAGCACAGCTTTGGCCGTCTTCCTTAGACTTTCTTTACCTAGCTACACAGTTGGCTCATCGCCCAGCTAGCTAGCTAGCTAGCCAGCTAGCTAGCTAGCTAGCGTTTCTCTGAGCTCGCTAGCTAGCTAGCTAGCCATAGAAAAACAAAATTTGTGGTCGCCGCACTGGGCAGGTTGTGCCCTTCACTGGGGCAGATGATCTAGCTAGCTAGCTAGCTAGCTAGCTACGTGGATAGCTAGCTAAGTAGCTAGCTAGCTAGCCGTCTATCCGTCTAGCTAGCTAGCTAGCTAGCTAGCTAGCTGGGCAGCGCACTGGTAAGCTGCACTGGCTACATGTTAGCCGATTTGCCAGCCATATAGCTAGCTAGCCAGCCAGTTAACTAAACAGCTAGCTAGCTGTAGCTAGCTGTAGCTAGCTAGCTAGCTAGCTGGGTAGCTAGCTATATGAATAGATAGCTACATTGGTGTCCGTCTAGCTACCTATCTACCTCGCTATCTGGCTAGCTAGCTAGCTAGCTGGCTAGCTAGCCTGGCTGTATAACTGTCTAGCTAGCTGTCTAGCTGTCTAACTAGCTGTCTAGCTAGCTGTCTAGCTGTCTAGCTAGCTAGCCTGGCTAGCCAGCTGGCTAGCTAGCTAGCTGTCTAGCTAGCTGGCTAGCTAGCTGGCTGGCTAGCTAGCCAGGTTTACAGGGAGACGATGGCTGGTATTGGTTGCATCACATGATGCTGCATCTCTTCTTCTTCTGCAGCAAACAAAAAACACAAAAAAACACAAAGTACCTTCAGCTGCTGTGCTGC